GATTTTCCTCCCACAGCTGTGACCATTAACAAACCACACAGAGGTGGCAGTAATGAGGACAGAGGCTCACACAATACCAGGTGTACTATTGTCCACTCCGGCTCGTAGTGATTTGCTATATGTGTGTCAACATTTCCTTTGTTGTCTTGTGTATATTTTTGTATAGCTCATTATTCCCCTTTATGTCTATTCTTTCTCTCTCTCTCTCTTTTTTTTTAAACGTTCATCTGCTTTAGCACTGTTTGAGCTCCTTTACGATGGGGTATACAAAATTACAGCAAATTAGTAACAAAAAAACAAGGAATCAGCAGGTGAATACCTAATATTTGGGTAGAATCAAGGATTAAAGCATTGCAGTGAGAACTTATGGAAAGGTATAGGGTTTTAGGTACGTCCATAGACATACCAACACAATGTACAAGTTATTGTTGGCTAAGCTGGCACATATAAAATCATTTCAACATCTAGGAAACCATTTATTAATTAGAATTAGTTCTTGATTCGTTCTTAAATCGCTTGCTCACCCTTTGCCTCTTATGTTTTCTGTGACAATGGAGGACACGTGAATTTAACGCACTAAAATGGGCGTTTTTTCATGTAACACGTGTCACAGCAGGACAAGCACAGGTGTGGATAATGACATGAATGACAGTTGCTGGAGCACTTGGATAGAACAGAGCAATTGTTAATGTTATTTGTAACATCTGTGCTTTTTCCTACTGTGACAAGTCAAAACGTTGGCTGTGAAAAAGGCCTGCGGTGTTTGGAGGACTGTGCCAAGACAGCGCACGCTTTTAGAAATTACACACCGTATGTTTAAAGAATTAGATTTGCTGGTTACATTTTTGGCTTGATGAGATTTAAAAAAGAAAAATGAAAAAAGAAGAAGAAGAAGATTACGCCTTTTCATTAAAAAAACAACAACAAAAAAAGGTGAGTGATTTACAGATGTATTTCCTTAATTGACAACCCTGCACTCTGTCCTTTTTGGTCAATGTTTGTAAAATAAGAGTGAACTGTGGACGTGCATTTGCAAATGCAGATTTGATAATGTCACAAGTATCTATGGCAGCAGGATGGCGTATGTGCGACAAGTAAACCACAGAGCCCATGTTCATAATGAAGGAACATGTCAACAATGTACTGGCGACCTGTCCAGGGTGTCCCCTGCCTTTGCCCTCAGTCAGCTGGGATAGGGTTCAGGCCCCCCAGGACCCTGGTGAGGATAAAGCGGTGTTTAGATAATGGTTGGATGGATGTCAACAATGTGGCTAATTGATTTTTCATTGTTTCTGGACAACAATGAAGCTCCATGGCACAAAGAAAAAGCCTCGTAAAGGCCTTGGGTTACTTGTAGTGGGATCAATTCATATTTTTATGGGATTTGTTTACAACAGGGGAAACACAGCATATCACCTGACTTTGTCCTTTAATTCAGTGCCAGCAATCCACCAATAGATGTCACTGTGGTTTAATGTGGGGGAATGGTGTCCTCCTACCCAGTTTTAAGGGTGTTTAAATCAGCAATACCTGACATTATATCAGAAAAGAATCATTCGAAATAAACTCTTTTTTCACTTCGTAATCAATGATGCA